TCAAGAAGGGGGGGGGCGGAAAGGGGGGGGAGGGGGGGAAAGGTGTCGGGTGGCGGGGAGGAAACGGGGGGGGGGTCCGAGATCATTTAAACCGCTTCTGTTCGGTGGTGTCCAAATTTTTTGTTGGTAGGGGGGAGATCGCGTCGGTTTGACCTGTGAAAGCATGCGTCATTACAGCTAGTCGTGCAAACGGAGGGGCGTGTGGTGGTGGGGAATGTCATTGTCTTCTTCCTAAAATATATTTAGAAACTCTGGCCACAAAGATGGAGCGTCTGGGTGAAACGCTTCATAGTCCTGCTTGGGGTCTGAAGTTTGGGAGACAGTTTTTATGGCTCTCACTTATCAGCCCGTGAGACTTCATACATAAATAAACCCCCAGCAGCACTTGGCAAAGAATAGACCAGACGCAATAAAATGCAATCAGGGAACCAGAGGGCAAGTCCTTGAGCCTTTTAATAGGTTTCTGCCTTTTTTTTTTTTCCAAAAGAGTGGGAGAGCAGGGTTTATTGTGTGGGCGACGTTTCTGCTCCCTTCCGTTGTTTAAAACAGGGAGATGAATAGCAATGGGAATTAAATTGAAACCGCGATCGCCCTTGCTTTTGCGGTTGCCCCGCGCGGAGGGAAGGGAGGAGAGAGGGGATGGTCAGGGCGCCTAACGGAAGCGGCCCCCATAGCGCTCACCTTGGTACAGGTGGAGTTAATCTCTCCAAGAGCTTGCGAGGGGCGGGAAGACGAAGCTCCAGAAGCCAACCTCCCGACTTGGAGGTTGCCTGCCTCCATTAAAAAGCGGCGGTGGCGGGGAGGGGGGAGGCGGTTTGAGGGCGTGGGATCGAGTGCTAGCAGTCGTCTGACCGGGTTTTGAGAGGTTTTTTTTTTTGCTTAGCCGTCTCTCCGCCTTTCTGTATTTTCTTTTTCTTTACCTCCGCCTCCAAATAAAAAAGTATTTGGCCATATGTTTTGGCGAAGCGCTTCCACATATTATCCGATTAGTTCCCAGGTCCTCCCTTTTCCCCGAGCCATTCCAGCTGCAGAAAGGGTTGGGAGGCGGGAGGGAGAACTCCCGGCCACTCCTCTCCCGGCCACCCCACGCGCAAACCTCGCAGGGCTCCCCGCCTAGGTGGGCTCTACCGCTTTAAGGAGCGCTACATTTTCCAGCTTGTGTCGCAGCAACTTTGTATCAGTCATGTCGCCCACCGGGTGACTGACAAAAGCTGTTGCCCAATGGAAAGCTCCATGAGTCCAGAGACCGCGGCTTCGTTTTTCTGGGCGGCCAATAGGAAAGGAGGAGAGGAGGAACCATGTCCTGAACTTTATCTGAGCATGTGACATGTTTTTAAAAGGACTTGGCACCTTCTTTCTCCCCCCCTCCTCTGGCGCACCCCCTCCCACCCTCCCGACTTTCCTCCCTGCACAGTGTCGTTGAGTGGTCATGACGAATCTCGAATTAAGAGCACTTTCGGAAGAATAAAGTCTTCCTCGTTGCTTTTCCAGCTCCAGAACATCCTGTCGTGGTCCCCCCCCCCCCG